AAAAAAAAAAAAAAGATTTTGTATATAAGCTGAATAAATTGTCTTACATTGTCATAATTATTTTAACTTTATGTAGCAGAAAGACAAGAAGCCCAAGAGGTCAACCTGGAAATTTAATTTGGACCTTACTCATCCAGTAGAAGATGGAATTTTTGATTCTGGAAATTTTGTAAGTATTATTTTTTTTACTCAGTTTATTTTGATAGTAGTGTTCTTGATAATGGTTTAAGTGCATAATAATTTGATATTAACCTAAGCTCTGTTCCTAGGGTACCTTCCCTAGTGAATATCTAGGGTTTTCTTCCCTAGTTTTGCATTTCTTCTGTTTTAAAATAGGAACAGTTTCTACGGGAGAAGGTTAAAGTCAATGGAAAAACTGGAAATCTTGGGAATGTTGTTCACATTGAACGCTTCAAAAATAAAATCACAGTTGTTTCTGAGAAACAGTTCTCTAAAAGGTTGGTACTTCTTTTGCAAATTATTATGACGTTACAATAGTTGAGGAATGTGTTACAGAAATGCAATCTTAGCATTCTGTACATATGCAAGAATAAATTTGAATGTGCCAGTTGCTTATTGACTGTAAGTGTAGTTTGATGCTAGAATATAGGCAAGAGGTCCTGTCAGTAAATTATAGGCCCTATGAATCCAAGTTGTGTATAAACTTCAATGGTGCATGCTTTGTAATTTCAGTGTGTTGGACTGCTGTAAGACTAGGTTAGCCAGTCCTATAACATTGAATCCAAATGCAACCCAACATTAAACCAAACAAGCAAATTACCCACCACCAAGGAGCCTCTCTATTGGAGAAGGGAACTTGTGTAATATTAAATTCTGTGTGAGGGACACAGAGCAAGGCTGTTAAATAAACAGGAAAGGCCTCACCTCAATGAAACAATAGTAAGGAGGCCAGTGTCTGGAGTGCATTGTGTTTGGGGAGGAGTGCCTGGGATTGGAGGGGAAAGTAGGGAACAGATGTTGAAAACCATGGGAAGAAGGGCTTAGAGCTCAGTGTGTTAGGGGAAGCCTTTGACGATTGTGGCTAAGAAAGACTGGGGTGGTGAGCTTGGTGGAAACTGGAGATGAAGACTTCTGGCTTGGACCAAGGTGGATGCAGTGCATGTGAACTGTGGTTGTGAACTGATTTTTAAGGATTCAGAGAGATGAAATATAGCTGTCTTCAAAGATCTTACAATCAGATAATTAAGTCTGAAATGCAATTCTGTAGCTTTTATTAGGTAGAAGGAGCACAGGATTTCTCAGAAAAGCTGGGACTTAGCATAGTTAGCCAGTAGAATGAGGTATTCCCGGGAAGAGGGAGCTGCATTAGCAAAGGGGAGCTTTAGAGGAATGCAGGGTAGTTGGAACAGCCATGAAGGGTGAAGGGAAGACAATGGCTGGAGTGATGACATGTGGAAAGCTTTTTATAAGGACTAAGGCAAATGCTAGTTGCATGGCTGTTGGTAAAACCTTGAAGTTTTGGATGAATTTAATTCCCTGACAGGTTGCCTCTTGTTGGCCTAGGGTGGAATTAGGGTTAGGGAGGTTGCTAGTGGTATACATGCTGTATTTCAGAGTTAAAGTATCTATTGGTTGATTTAAAAAATAATTTGGCTGTGGCAGTAAAGCTGAAGAGGAAGCTACCATTGCTCTACTACATAAAAGGTCCCAGTGTAGAGAATGTTAGTTTATTTGAGGGAAAGGGAAGAATAAGAGTTTTGAAAGGCATAAACTGATCCTAACGGAGGTTGAGGAACCATGGCACCCTTGCATGAGGAGAATGCTCAGTGCAAGTGAAAGGATGAAATACTGGGAGAGAGGACACAAGAGAAAGAAGAACATGTATCTAATAAGTCTGCACAGAAGGGATTGTACTGCTTGGTGACTTCCATCTTTTTATTTTAAAGGTACTTGAAATACCTTACCAAGAAATACCTTAAGAAGAACAATCTTCGTGATTGGCTTCGAGTGGTTGCATCTGATAAGGAGACTTACGAACTTCGTTACTTCCAGATTAATCAAGATGAAGACGGATCAGAATCTGAGGACTAGGTGATGCTTTTTCTTATAGGGCTTTGCTTGCTGATAACACAAATGAAGCTTACACAAGAAAGAAACATCTAAAAGTGGGGTTTCGGTTTATCAGTGAATAAAATCATCGCACTCAAACTTTGGTCTAGTTCTTTTCACGTGTACTGTTTACATGATTGTGATTTTCCTTTAATAATTTCTGTAAATAATAAAATTCAACTTACATATAAACTATATAGGTAGAATTTTCCCTGAAGATTTCCAAGGTTTATTGTTCTTATTGCTTCTCAAGTTAAAGTGTTGTATTGAAGCACAGTTTCACATATAGCAGTATGAAATTGTGTTTCCTGCAGTCTTGAATGTGTCAGAACAGTTTTTACGTGTAAGTCTTCAAGTCTTTCTTGCCTTCTGCTTCAGAGGACTTGTCTCGTCATCCCTACCCCTTATCCTTCTTTTGGTTGACTATTAAAACGATTTAGTGATGGGCCCTGAGCTGGAGGTGAAAGAAGAAAAGGGAATGATGTGCCTTTTTTTTTTTTTGAGCTAGAGTCTCACCCAGGGTGCAGTGCAGTGTCCTCAAGTGATCCTTAGCCTCCCAGAGTGCTAAGAGTACAGGTGTGAGCCCCTGTGCCCTGCCAATGTGCCTTTATGCTTCGAGCCTGGAAGTAGTGATGCCAGTACTTCCAGGTTCTACTCTACTGATCAACACAATTGGTACAGCAAAAGTCTAAAATAATGGTTTTACTGACTTAATTTTCCTAAGTAAGTGCTCCCCAATCTTAACATACTGTCTTTGTGCAGCCAACTTCTTGGACAACTTAGAGATTTCAAACTTAGCTCTTGGCCCCATTCTTACAATTTTTCATAAATAGTACTAGGTACCCACTGTGTACCCCTCTGCCAACCTCATCTAGGTCTCTGAGGAAAGAAGGGAATTTCAGGGAGAGGAAATAGGACTTAGTGAACTTCTGAGAACTGGGGAGTGGTAGAGAAAACAGTCCAGCATGTGTGATTATGAGAATCTGGAAAGGCAGGGCTGGGTATGGTGGCTCACTCGGTAATCCCAGCACTGGGAGGCAGAGGTGGGTTGGATGGATTGCTTGAGCTCAGGAGTGAGACCATCTCTACTAAAAGCCAGCCTGGCATTGTGGGCACTGGTAATCCCAGCTACTCGGGAAGCTGAGGCAGGTTCACTTGAACCCAGGTGAAGATGCTGTGAGCTAGGACGCCGTAACACTCTACCCAGGGTGATAGAGTGAGACTATCTCAAAAAAAAATCTGGAAATATAGAACCAGCCAAGACAGGACTGAAAAGTCCATGACTGCACCTTGAGAGCAGTGGGAAGCTGGCTGATTTAAAGTAAAGGGTGATGGGATCCGGTGAGATTTGCATTTTGAAATAGACCAGTGACTGCATTGTAATGATTCCAGTGGAGTCAGGTTGGAGGTGGGGAGCTGTCGCAGCAACCTGTGCAAGATGGTGGAAGTGGAGAAAAGTGGATGGGTTCAAGAGAATAAAGCCAGTGGGACTTGGGGATAGGCTGCCTTCCTCTGGGTTGCTGTAACAATACCTGAGACGGGATGGCATATGAAAAATTTATTTCTCAGCTCTGGAGGCCTTGAAAGGCTGCTTTCTGTTCACACATGTCCTTTCTAGTCCTCGTGGGGTGAGGTGAGCTGGCTTTCTGGGGTCTCATAACAAGGCCCAGTGCAAAAGTGTTGGTCCTAATCACAGGGCTCTACCCTGCTGGCTTGGTCATCTTCCAAAGGCTCTACCTCCTAATGCCATCACCTTGAGGGTTAACATTTCAAATTTTGGTGGGACCACAAAACCTTCAGATCATAGCAAGGGCCATTGGTGAGGGGTGCTTTATACGACTGGCCTCAATGGTGCCATCTGCCAAGTTTGGTCACAATGGAAGAAGGAAAGTAGGGGAAAGGCAGTTCACTTTAGCACACTGAGTCTGAGGCACCTTTGTGACGTCCAGGAGATGGCAGGCATGCAGCTGAATGTCCAGATCTGGAGCTCAGGAGTGGGTCTAGGTGAAGGCACCTGCTAGGCCTTTGTACATAGAGTGACAGACAGCAGGGGCAGGAGAAACCGCCTGTGGAAAGAGAATCAAGTGTTGGCAAACACCAGGCACCTCCTTTATTCCTACCCTGGAGTAATCTTCCAAAAATATCTAATACTCACATGTTGAAAATTCTTCAGGACGGTGCCTGTGGCTCAAGGAGTAGGGCACCAGCCCCGTAAGCCAGAGGTGGTGGGTTCAAACCCAGTCCCGGCCAAAAACTGCAACAACAACAAAAAAAGAAAATTCATTAAAGTTAATGTTAGCACCTCACATCCACTATGCATGTGTGAGAGGCTGAGCTCACTCTGTTAGGGATTCATGCATTCAGGAACTCGACAGGTTAGGCAGGTGCACCCAGACTGGGCTCTACTGGGAATACTGCACTAAGCAAGACAGAAGCTCCTGCTTTCATGCCACCTGCAGTCAGTGGAGGAAGACACAGGGAAATAAAGTGTACATGGTGGTAAACACTGCCAAGAAAAATAAGGGAGATAGGGAAGCAGGAAGGAAGGAGTGCTGCGTTTGTGCAGAGCATTAGGAAAGGTTTCACTGAGAAAGACTCAGTCAGCAGAGCCTGAGATACTGACTCCAGCCAAGCAGATACGTGAGGGAGAAGCATTACAGGCACAAAATCCCCAGGGCAGGAGGGCCCCTGGGATGTTCAGGGAACAAGAGTCTTAAGCTGAGTGATCCGTGGAAAGTAGAGGGAGGTGAAATTTGAGAAATATTAAAAGGTATGGGGGATGCAGTGCTGGTGTGTTGGTATCAATTCCATTAAAAATAAGCAGCTAATTTGTCTCTTAGCTACAAAGGCTCAGGAATCAGGGACTCAGCTGCTGGGGCCAGCTCAGTGTTCCATGAGGTTGCAGTCAAGCTATGGGCCTGTAGTTATGCAGCCTTAGCAAGCTGCTGCCTCTTTCCATAAATAAGGCTTTATTGAAACAGCCAAGCCAATTATTTTTCCTATTTTGTGCAATGGCAAAGTTGAGTCACTAGCTGCAGCAGAGACGATGTGGCCTGCAAAGCCCAAACTATTTACTATCTGGCCCTTCAAGAAAAAGTTTGCTTCAGGCTTGACGGCTGGAAAAATCAGCCTCCAAACACACAAACACACCGATGCAGGAGAATTCCATGCCTTGCTTCCTGCAGGGAGCTGCTGAGAAAGGGCAGCTGGTTCCCCTAGAGCAAGTAATCCAAGGGAGAGGGAGAAAGAAGCCAAGACAGAAGCTGCAGAGTCTCGACCTGACCTCAGCAGTAACGCATCGCATCATCAGCATTGCTGTATTTACTGACCACACAGAGCACACTTGGAACAGGTGCGAGCAGCAGGGCGGAGGCTGGTGCCCGCTGCCAGGACACAGAGCAGGCAGAGCCGTGCCGGCTACGGCAAGGACGTCAGTGGTAGTAACTTTCTGAGCACCATGGAGCTACTGGCAGACTTGAGCAGATGAGGGTTGTGATCTAATTTATATTTTAAATGAATGATTATAGTATTTTGTTTATGGCAAGAACTTACGAGAAATCAGAGACTCTCTTAATCCAACTATACTTCTGAGAGTGTGACTTCACAGTCGTGAAGCCGACTTTATGCTGAAGGACTGAGTCCCAGATTTTTATTTCCTTGCAAGGTCTCTGCATCAACTAGCAATTGATTATTTTATAATAAATCAATAATACTTATCCATTATTTTTAACTTTGTATTATTTTGTTTATTTTAAGCATTTTATTTATTATGCAAAATTTCAATTACATATAAAAGTAGAGAATACATGTTTAATCCATGTTCCCCCTGTTTATTTTAAAGCAAATTCCTAACATCATACCATTTCATCCACAAAATACCTTGTATTTCTAAATTTTGGCATCTAACAGATAAGAACTCCTAAACATAACTACCACACAATTATCATACATATAATATCTATAACAAATTTAATAGCAATTTCTTATTCAATTCCAGTATTTAAAATATCTCCAAATATCTGGTAATTTTTTAATTTCGTGCAAATAACAGTTGTAGAAAGATCCATGGTTGCAATTAAATGTCTCTTCAACTCCTTTAATACAGAAGATTGCCCCCGCACTCCAATTTATTGATCAAACTGGGTCATTTGTCTTGTAAAATTTCCCACAATTTGGATTTTTATAATTCACCCTCCTCAGCCCCAGTAGTGACTTTAAATATAGTTCTGTGTCTCCATATCTCCTGTGAATTGCGGGATTTAGGAGCTTGGTCAGTATCAGATTCACTTGATTTTTTTGGCTTGCATGCTGTGCCACCGTGTGTATCTGTAAAGAGGTATAACATCTGGCTTCCTATTTAGATCCATCATTTCCCTGAGGGTTCCCCAAGGGCGTCACTCCCGCTTCATTTATCAGCTGGGATGCTCTAACAGAGGCACTTCCCCTCATCAACCCCAAAGTGCAGTCCCTGTGAGAGGCAGGGCAGACCTGGGCTCTTCCCTCTATATACTAATTTTTCCATTTAATTCTCAAGCAAGTAACCTCTAAAGGTGCTCAGTGAGGGTTTGTTTTTTGTGGCTTAGTTTGTTTTAGTATTATATTGAACTTATGGTGTAAAAATATTTGGTATGAGAATCACTTGAGCCCAGGAGTTTGAGGTTGCTGTGAGCCATGACACTACAGCACTCTACCGAGGGAGACAAAGTGAGAGTGTCTCAAAAAAAATTTTTTTTGGTATATTCTAATTCATTTCAGTTATTACTATGCAGATTGTCCCAGCTTTGGCTAATGGGAGCTTCTTCGGGCTGGCTTCTCTATCCTTTGGCATGATATCATCTGGACTTTATTACTTCCTCGATTTGTGGTATGATGAGATGTTCAGGCTTTTCTGAATTTCCTGCCTTGGATCTGGAATCACCCATTTCTACAAGGAGCTCCGGACCATCTCCTTGGTGCTGGAGGCACCTGCTGTCAGGGGCTGGTCACTGTTCCACTCCTCTTCAGTGGACAATGGGAGCAGATGCACTTTTTGTTTTAAAGAGAAGATAAGTATATACTGACGCATCCAATTCAAAATCAGGATGAAAAGAGGTTTTTTT